AGATGGATTGGCCAAGTAGCAGCATCGATGGACTCAAGCGTGGCAACAATTGTGAGTTTGGCCCAGGATCGGGCAGTGTCGTTGTGGGTCGGTACTGACTTGATGGCACCTAACAACAACAACAACAGTTTTTCACTAAAGTCTGGTTGTTTTCTTTATCTTGAATCAAGAATATTATTGGGTAAAAAGATAAACTTTTTAAAAGTTATTGATAATTTATTTTCAATTTGTTCTCTGATTCAGAATAAGAAACAAGGATGTAAAAATGAGGAGGTGCTCGCTGTACTAGGTCATGAACTGGGACATTGGAAATTGGGACACACAGTCAAAAATATCATTATTAGCCAGGTAAGTTTGGGACAGTAATTCTTTTTTTATGGCATAGTAGTCAAATTAGAGGTCTGATAGGCAGGAGAGAGGTAATGTAGGAGAGGGTAAGATGACTCCAGAGCCATGCTAATTGGTTGGCTTCACACCTCTGCTCCTTGTGTTATCTCAGGCAAGTTCCTTAACTTCCTCTCATTGAATGATACTACATCAGAGGTCTAGCCTAAAGATGAGAGGAGTTGATACACGTAAACCATTACTGTAGTTACCACCAGGGTTGTCACCTCCACTCATTCAGTTTACGTTATTAAGTACTGCTGAGTTGATTCCGATTCAGTGATCCTGTATGGAGTTTCCTAAGAATGGCTGGTGAGTTTGAACTACTAACCTTGTGGTTCAAACTGATCTTGTGATCCAACGCTTATCCTTCAGTGCCACACCAAGACTCTTCACTCAGATATGTTGTTGTTAAGTGCTGTTCAGTCAGTTCTGACTCATAGCGACCCTATATACGGTTTTTCATGGAGCATTTGGTAAGTTTGAACCACTTATCTTGCAGTTCAAACCAACCTTGCGGTCCAGTGCTTATCCTATAGTGCAGCACTAGGACTCCACTCAGATATAGGAGAGTTGAAATAAAAAAGAGAGAGGGCCTAAGTAAATTGGCCATTACAATGCATTTTTTTTCCTTTAAGTTTTTATTGTAGATTGAGTGAAAGTTTACAGGGCAGATCATCAATTTTACATTCAACAAATCATACAACTTGTTTCATCACAATGATTACAATCCCCTCCATGTACTATAAGTTAACAGTATTTCTCTCTATTCATTTTAGCTCTTTTTTTTTTTTTTAAACACTCAGGTATATATAATAATTTATACCACCAAAGGGCCAAAGGGCACATACTGCAAGTCAGCCTCCTGGCCACTACTATCTCTTAGTCCCTCTCTTCTCTTCCAATGACTCTAAAGTCCTCAGCTGCTCCCCCTCTTCATATCCCCATCTCTGCTTCCATCTTTGTGTCACTGTTTCTCTGGATGTTGTTGGTGTTAAGTGCTGTCAAGTCAATTACAACCCATAGCAACCCTGTAGAGGATTTCCAAGGAGCAGCTGGTGAGCTTAAACCACCAACCTTGCAATTCAAATGACTTTGCATTAGCCCACAGCTCCACACCACACCCTTTCCACTTGTGCTCTTCTCCCTTGGTGGTCCTAGAGTCCTTTGTTTTTGGAGTGTAAGAGTAAATACTCCTCCCTCCTTCTTCTTCCCTCCCCCCCACTTTTTTTTACACCACTTTTCCCTTTATAGTTGTGACAGTCACAGCTAGTCATGATAATAATTACTCTCTATTAAATCGTAAGAATCTTATCCCCATCTCTCTAAACCAGACCCATCTAGACAAGATGATAACTACTTATTGGGGAACAATGCATTTTTTAAAGCCTTTTTTTTTTTCTTTTCATTTAAAAGTAGTTATATGTCCACTTAAAAATTTGGAAAAAATATAGAAAAGTATTCCTGTATCATTCGTCTGTCTCTAAACCAACGGAGTGACCTTTGTTTTCAGGGTGTGGATAGAATAGCACCATGCATTGCAGGTGGCTGGTTCTGAGCATATGGGGCCTTAACAGCATCTTAAGTGGGTCTTTGTACCCTTCTAAAAGCTCAGTTGACTCTGGGTGATGACCACCTGAGAAGACCTGAGAACTCCTTCCTGTGGGCACTTCCTGTTGCCTTACATCCTTAAGTGTAAAAATGAGTTCCTTGGCTTGAAGTTAGCTTATATGATACACGGAAAGGAGTAAGACATTAAATAAGTCCAAATTAGAATTCAAAGTAAGTATTCAGAGTAGTAAGAAAAATCACTGTCTCTTCCATGATGGAGGGGTTTCAATGGATTCAGCCTACCACAAGATACCCCTGTGGTGTGGTACCTTATCAAGGATGAGGTTGATTGCATCTTCTTAGGATTTGGGCACTCAGCAGGAGCCAGGGGAGAAGTGGCTATGTTGTTGACTCTACATTCACTCCATACCTGTCATCTTGCCCACTTTATTCATGAATTACTTGACCAAGTCGCCAGGTAGCTGGGGAAAAGGGCTGATCTTTGAGAGCCATGGAGTCTTTTGGTGAAAATTCACAATATTATCATACTCTAGGCTAATTTGAAGTCTTCTCATATATTTCCTCTCCAGATTTTGTTTGCCATCCTCTAGTTTGTTCCAAAAACCTGATTGCTTGATCAAACCATTATTTGCCCTCTGCCAATGAATGAGTAAAGATCCTCAGTTCAGGCCCACTCTCCTTCCAACAGAGTTGGCAATAAGATATAAATTTCACCTCAAGAAGAGCATTTCTGTTCTCTGCTATCTTTCAGGACCATCCCTGAGTGGTACTGTAATTCCAAAGCAGTTCACTTTCAGCTAGTACACATATTGTATAAAGTTATTTATAAACTAGGCTCAAACTTTTCCTCCTCCATTAAGTGATTATAGAGAACTCTCCTTGAGTAAAAATTGAAGTGTGGCAGAAGTTGGCATACAAGGAGTATGAGCCACCTACTCATGTTACTTCACCCTTCAAGACTTGCTGCCCTGCCAATCCTGTAGACCCTTAAACTTGATGGTGGCAGAGTGTCTCTGAGCATCCCAGTTTCCCAGCTAAGTGGATCAATACACCATTCCATGCAGTATAGCAGCTCAGATCATAGAATCATGGTGTGCTATGCTTAGGAACTGAATCTCTACTAGGGCGCAGTAGCAGCCAACCAAAAGTTATTTTTCAAAAGGAGAATGGTTGCTTGATGAAAATGGCATGCATCAATTTACTCCAATACTCTTAGGGCCTTAACTGTGAGTTTTCTATTAGGGTTTGAGCTTCATCCTGAATCAGATGGCTAGCCACCTTCTCTTCTGAGCCCCACTGTAATCTGGTAACTCTGAGTCACCTAGTAAATGGTTTGAGCAGCACACTTATGGCACATATGAGGTGGTTTCAAAAAGTTTGTGGGAAAATTCCATTGTCTCGTAATTCCAATTTTCCATGAATTTTTTGAAGCCCCCTCATATGTGGCCTCGAAAATCCTAACCTGCTAAGAGAAAAGAATGGTGTTTGTTCTTCACCTTTACTTCAAGGAGTTGTTTTTTGGTATAGACTTCATTTTTTTTTTCTTCATGCATTGATACAAACGTTAAGCGCTGTTGAGTAGGTCCTGACTCCTAGCCACCCTTTATAGGGTTTCTGAGGAGTCACTGGTGGGGTTGACCTTAACTCCCTGTGATTAGAAGTTGAGTGCATATCCTACAGCACCACACTAGGACAAAGCTAGATCTTGGTCCTTTCTGACTCTTCAGTGGTCCTAAAGGGAATTTAAAGAAAGCCTGCTGCTTTGGAGTCTCCACAGCAGTGTTAGGTAGGAGACCTTGTGTCTAGTTAGGGTCTCGTATGAACAAAGGCCTTTCTAGCCCTTTAACTTACAACAGAGGAAAAACTCCTGTTGCTACTGCCTACCTCAAATCCTCAATCAAAAGAGGCTCAGCTAAAGCCTGTCCCTGTAGAAAATGATACAGTTTACAATTGGGTGGGAAGTCATTGTGCGTGTGCATGCAAAGTTTACTTTCCATTCTAGGATAAAAGTGAAAGTCAAAAACTACCTCTATAGGTGTTTCTGTGATCACATGGAAGCCACGGTTAAAATCTTTACACTGTGATATCTTGGTTCTACTTTTTTTGTGCTACTCAGTGAAAATCAGCTTAGTAATAACAGAAATGTTGTGCCCTTTTTCCTAGATGAATTCTTTCCTGTGTTTCTTCTTGTTTGCGATATTAATTGGTCGACGGGAGCTTTTTGCTGCATTTGGTTTTTATGAAAGTCAACCCACGCTAATTGGACTGTTGATCATCTTCCAGTTTATTTTTTCACCTTACAATGAGGTAATGTATAAGCTTTTACATTATCTCACATATGCCCTTGCCTCTTTCAAATCTAGAATGTCGTTGTGTTGTTTAAGTGCTGTAGAGTCAGGTCCAATTCATAGCGACCCTGTATAGGATTTCCAGGGAGTAGCTGGTGAGTTTGAACCGCTGACCTCGCTGTTAGCAGTCCAATGCTTTTCCTACATCACCACACCAGGACCCCATAGAACATTTGCTGTTGTTAAGTGCCGTTGAGTTGGTTCCAACTAATAGCAACCCATTGGTATAGGGTTTCCAAGGAATGGCTGGTGAGCTTGAACCATCAACTTTGCAGTTCAAACCGACCTTGCAGTCCAGCACATTAACCCACTGCGCCACACCAGGAAAAAAAAATAAACCTGTATAGTTCCAACAAATAGATGAAACAAAAGTTTTTCAGTCCCTTGATAGACTGGCTGGTATGAGAAAGTGGAAGAAAAAGAAATGAGCAGTGACTAAAAGCCTTTCGTTTGCTTTTTTTTCAGGTTCTTTCGTTTTGTCTAACAGTCCTAAGCCGCAGGTTCGAGTTTCAAGCTGATGCATTTGCCAAGAAACTGGGAAAGGCTAAAGACTTATATTCTGCTTTAATCAAACTAAACAAAGATAATTTGGGATTTCCAGTTTCTGACTGGTTGTTTTCCATGTGGCATTATTCTCATCCTCCGCTATTAGAGAGACTTCAAGCTTTAAAAAATACAAAAGAAGACTGAGATGCCCAGGGTCCGCGACTAAAGACATTTCTGATTATTTGTTTTGGCAGCATGTTCCAGCTCTTGATGTTTTTAAACTTTTTTTCTTTTTTAAGAAAAATTATTAAGTACAGAAAAGCCCAGATTTAAATGCATTTAATAGCTCATTTCAAAATTATTTTAATAATCCATTTCTGAAAGAAAATACTGGATGAAACTTTGAGACAATGTTTTTAAAGGGAGTTTTCTTTTATCTTTGACATCTGCCCACCATCAGCTTTTTGATGATTTAAGAAAACACAGAACTTGATTATTTATACATTTATATGAAATTTGTATATAAGGCATTTGGGGGCAGATGTTTCAAGGAGGGAACACCTGTGAGTCCTCTCTGAAGGCAGAAATGTGGTCCCAGTCATTGTGCTCATACCGAAGTGGACATTCACTTTATTTTCATACTCTTATGATTTGACCTGGCCAATCAGTGTTTTAAATAAGGAAAAAAGGTAAGAGCTGATAAGCCAGTGTTATTTAAATGAGAATTGTTAGAAATATATTTGTACTGTTTTATCTTAATTTCTCTGCTCCCTCTCTTGCTACACTCTAATCAGGAGTGTCTAATAGTGCTTTGAAATTAGGAATTATGTATAGCATGTTTTAAATCATTGTTTATTTTTATTATTATATTGTTTAAGGAAATCTCAGTCTTTCCACCCAATGGGTATGGTGCCATTAGGTAAACAAGTATTTTTTAAGACATTCACCCTCTTCTCATTCATAGTCTTGTATTAAATAAATTGTGCATCCTTTCACTTAGCAGAAATTGCCATATTGAACAGGTTTTGCTGTTTTAAAAAATGGCAGAACATGGACAGAAGAAATGCCATTTTAATAGACATAAAGCTGAAATACTGATGAGTCTCTTGTAATACTACAGGAAAAATATAGTTTTCTATCTCTTTTCAAGGACGGAAGAATTTTTATTTCTGAATTTTTTTATCAGTAAGTCACTATCTAACCAGGCTTGATTCCACTTTTGAAAAGTATAATTCTTGATATGCAGATGATTGGTCATTTCAAAACAAATATAATGAAGGATCTCTTTTCCAATTGTAGAAGGTGTATGTTTGACTGCTTCAAATCTCTACCCAGTCTCTGAATGAGAACTTTGTGCCTAGAGTTCCCACTCATTGGTGTTTACCCTCTGGGCATTTATTCCAAAGTGGGATCAACTGTGTGCCCTTGATATCTGGCCATAAAATATTTTGCTCAGCTGACCTTTGAGTAATGTCTTTACATGGAAATATAATTAAAGAAAATCTAGTTGAATACTGCATTGTTTACTTTCCTATGGCTAAAAGGAGCAGTGCTGTGATTTTATTTATCCAGCATCTTTTATCTGTATATTCATGCTGTGATAATTGCCTTTCCTTCCTTCTGTGCCTTTAAATACACATTTCATTTCTGCACAAGTGAAACATTAAAAATGGCCAATGGAAATTTTGTACTTTGTCTTTAATTTGAGAACAATGTATATGTCATTTGTCACATAGACGCGGTTTTGTTACCTTAGAGAAACTGGGTGCAGGTGTATGGCAAAATGATCCTAATGCTGAGTGGTGCTGACACTTTCTCGCTGTTTCACTCACAGAGCCCTCTGTAGGGTGTGTCTCCTGCCCCACTCCAGAGCTTCACCAGGTCTGGCTGATGTTTCCCCGAGATCTTCATTTGGAGCCATTCTTTCTCCATTTTCATAACCTCAAATTATCTTGGGCCTGCTTAGTCTGCTTCAGCCCTCTTTGGTCTTCTTTACATGGCAGCAGTAATTCGCTTCTAAATATGCGACAATTTTGACGTTGTCTCCTGTAGCGTATGGATGGCAAAAGCATAGGATAGCCAAAGGAGACTAGTAGGTCCCTGAGCTAAGTGACTGACATGGAAAGAGTAGAATTTGATCAAGGAAGGAAAGAAGTAGTACTATGCCCCCTAATACTTGGCGGGTATTCAGGAATCAAGTAAGTCAAAGCCTTGGGTACAATAGCACTACCTCAGCAGGGTTGAGAGCATGATGGCTCTGTAGAATAAGTACTGGATTGCGAACCACAAGGTCAGTGGTTTGAGCCCACCAGTTGCTCCACGGGAGAATAATGAGGCTGTCTGCTACTGCAAAGATTGACAGCCTCGGAAACCTTATACAGGGTAGCTATGATTCAGAACCAACTCAGTGGCACTTACTGTATTTTATCTGAGGTGACTCTTTGCTGAGATCTGAAGGCCACTAGTAAATTCTACCTCTGTTTAGGATAGGAACAGAGTTTCTGGGATTGATGCAGTGCTTTCAGTTAACCCCTGACATTTTTGTTGCCGACTGTTTCCCCTAGTCCCTTATGTAATACTCTCCTCCCTGGATCTCTTATACTTGATAATCTTCATCGATCTCTGGATACTATTGTACATACACACTTTATGTAGCTTTGACTGTATGGGGTGTTTTACCAGCCTTAGCAGAAAGCTAATTAAGTTCTAGGTAGCTATGCAAAGAGAATTACAGAGAACATGAAGGTGTGTGCCAAAACTTGATTTAAGATCATGTTAATGTAATCATGTTGATGTGAGTTGAAAGCACTTGTGTGTCAGGCTAAGAACAGTCTGGAGGGAAAGCAAAAATCATCCATAGTGAAATGGTTTAACCCTCTTCACACAATATGGATGGGGAGAAAGCTTTCTGTCTTACTATCCAGGGGAGCTTCTGGCAGGGAGGATTTCCTAAATAGTTTGATCAGAGACAGACAGTGAATGTTTTAGTTTCTTAGAGCTGCTGTAGCAGAAATACCAAGTGGATGGCTTTAATGAACAGAAACTCTCACTGGTTAGGAGGCTAGAAGGCTGAATTCAGGCCACCGGCTGGCTCTAGGAGAAGGATTTCTTTGTTGGTCCTGGGGGAAATCCTTGTCTCTTTTTAGCTTCAGTTTTATGGAGATCTTCATGTGGCGTGGCATCTACCTTCATCTGTGCTTCTTTTTGTATCTTAATCTCGAAAATTATTGGTTTCAGTCACACT